ATTAGGAAGGGGAAGATAAGGGCAGATGTTAAACCTCCCGAGGGAAATGAGTAGATACTCAAGTATCACTCCGATCCGGACGAAAGCGCTGACACCTTGTCTGGATCACATCCCTTAGGTCTTGCCTACCTCCCTTGTCCTGATCTCGACCGAGATACCTAGGGAGTTTCATCCTTGAAAGGGAACTGCATTTACCTGTTGTCTGCAGTGTTGTGTTCTTTTCTCAGCCTCGATATGTAACACTGCAAGTTGTCATAGGAGATTTCGTCTCTTAGCCCAACTTTTTGCTCTTTCAGTCGCGTAAATTGAGCATTTACATTCCATCTCTGTTATCACAAAACCCAAAACACACAAAAAAACAGCTCCGATCACCGCCTTCTCCATTCACCAGTTGTTGACGTATGTAAATGCCCCGCATAAAGACTTTGCTGTTGGCCACTTCAAAGTTCCTGCTGCAAATGCAACCAGGAAAACGGGCCGAGGGAGAAATTGGTTATCTAGGAACCACCCTGCTGGCTAGTTCCTAGAACTATGCAGTGTGTATTTGTAACATATTTACATATGTTACAAATATGTAACATATGTAAATATGTTACATATTTGTATGTAACACCTGCGAATGTACCTGCTGTTAGGACAATGCAGTGTTTAATCACCTATCTGAATGATCGGGCTAGTACTGCTTTATCACTCTCACATGTTTTAAGCCTGGTCAGTTTAAACATTAAAGCGTTTTAAGCCATTCAAAAGCAAGTCGGCACGAAAGAGATTTCAATGCGGTAATCGCACACTGTGACAGATTGTTTCTTTGCGCACACATACACGCACGCAAAAAGCGCTCGGCTCGGACCACACAGGAGTACCAATTGTTTTTCAGAGCCTGAGATCTGCGGTTCCAAAGTTGAGGAGGCGGGGCCACTAAGCACGATCTCACACGGTTGCGTTCATCAGATGCAGATGAGTTAGGAGTTGATTGCCAGTAGTCAGAGAGTTTGGACAGTGTTTTTTCGAGTTATTGCGTGCTTTTCATAACTGGTTGGAGCGATTTGTCTTTGGACAATGGCTTCAAGAAAGGTTTTTGTTGGTGTGGAGGCTGTTTTGGAGGAGCTTGGTCGGCTGAGTGACACTGAAACTTGCAGCAATGATAGCTTCGACTCTGTCAGACAAGCTGTTTACGACACTGGAGAAGATCCTGAGTTTGAATAAGTGCACATTTCGAACTTATGAACGTTTTATTTGTGCATTTCATGAGCAAATGCATGCTATTATACAAATATGCATGCAACAGACATACAGAAATACATGTGCGTGCAAAAGTATATGGTCACAACACAATGCACACATGCACGCGATAATTCAAATAATCATGGGTTCTTTTGCGAAGCATGTGCTAATTTCTTTTGGGCACGCACATGTATTTGTGCATGTCTGTTGCATGTTTATTTGAGATTATTTTTGTAGCAAATACATGTGCCTGCAAAATAATGAGGACAACATATGCACACGATAATTCAAATCATAAAGGGTGCTTTTCTAAGCATGTGCTCATTTCTTTTTTGGCGCGCAAATGTGCTAATATAATGTTGCATGTCTGTTGCATGCATATTTGTATTTTTGCACGCATTTGTTCATCAGTTGCATTGATACGTGTATTTTATTTTATTTGATTTATATCTGTTTCGCGTATACATGAAATGCATTCTACATGTTTCTGTTACTATCATATTTGAATCAGTTCTTTTATTTTTGCATGCAAATGTATTTGTATTTGTATTTTATGCATTTATGTAATTATCATGCATTTCAGGATTATAATGTGGATTTATAAATTTATTTTTTGCAGTCTAGACTCCAGTGATGAAGAATTGCTGCCAAGCACCAGCAAGGAGGTTGTTTGCCTACCCCCCCACCTCCAAGACCCCCACACCTTCTGCTGGTGATACTGTGAGGCCACAGCCAACTCCCAGCAAGCAAAACAGAGGGAGGCCTCATTCTGGACGGGGTAAAAAAAGGTCAGCAAGTGCGATGTCCGTGAATGATGGCACAGAAAGGTGGAATGACTGCAGTGTGGAGGATGAAGTTCCAGCTTTACCAAATTTCCTTCCAAAACGAAACCCAGGAGCGCAGCTTGTAATGGACAGGATCTATTCCCCATTGCAGCTCTTTCAGCTCTTCTTCACAGGCTCTGTGGTGGACACCATTGTGAAGAACACAAACACCTTTGCAAAAATTAGGTCTGAGGCTGGAAAACATTTCCTTTGGTTGCCTTTGAAGGCAGAGGAACTGTATTCATACATTGCACTTGTCATTTACATGGGCCTCCTCGGTGCCAAAAATATCATCGATTACTGGTCTGGCAAAGAAATTTACCGCTTGCCCTTCCCAAAATCCGTTATGTCCAGGTCCAGATTTCAGGCCATTTCTTGGAACCTGCATCTTTGCGATCCTGAGGATGATCGAGAGAACTCACAAAAAAAGGGGACTCAAGCCTACGACAGACTTTTCAAAATCAAGCCCCTGTACAACGACATCGTCTCCGCTTGCAAAACTTACTTCCATCCAGACAGACAGCTGGCAGGGGACGAGAGGATGGTGGCTACAAGGGCACGAATCGGCATCAAGCAGTACATGAAAGACAAGCCGACCAAGTGGGGCTACAAACTCTACGTGCTTGCTGATTCTGCCTGTGGTTTCACTTGGAACTTCTTTGTCTATGAAGGCAAATCTTCCCTGGCCACTGGAAAAGGGCTCAGTTATGATTCCGTAATGCAGCTCCTGGATCTGTCACTTCTCGGCAAAGGCTACCAGCTGTTTATGGATAACTTTTACACAAGCCCATGCCTTTTTATGGACTTGCTCGCTAAGAAGACTCTGGCATGTGGCACAATACGCACCAACCGGCGGGGCTTCCCCAGAACCAAGGCAAATGACCTCAGTCGCAGAGGCCAAAGGGGAACCATACGATGTCTCAGAGATGGGAAGCTTCTCTTTGTGAAGTGGATGGACACACGAGAGGTTACAGTGTGTTCGACGATGCACAAGGCATATGACGGTGATGCAGTCCTTAGGCGTGTCAAGAATCCAGAGGGTGAATGGGAAAGACGCAGAATCCCGATTCCAACGGCAGTGAAAGACTATAATAAATATATAGGAGGTGTGGACCTGTCAGATGCCCTAATTGGGTATTATAATGTCCTGCACAAAACCACAAAATGGTACAATACTTTTTTTTTCCATTTTGTTGACATTGCGGTCGTAAACCGTTTCATTCTCCACCAGCATCTCTCCAAAGCTCAGAACAAAAGTCCTCTCAGCCAGAAGGAATTTAGAGAGAGACTTGTGTCTGAGCTGGCCACACAGTCCAGCACCTCAGGTGCCCCAGAGCCATCCACATCTCATGCCCCAGAGCTGTCTGCATCCACATCGCATGCCCCAGAGCCGTCCACATCTGCCATATCAGCAGGAGAGCCATGCTGTTCAGAGTACTTTGGGTCAAATGCCACAAGTGGGAGGAGAGTTTGTGCTTTGTGCAAACTTTCAGGCCTCAAAGTAAAGACTCCTATGTACTGTACAAAGTAAAACGTACCCCTGTGCTTGGTGCCATCTAGAAACTGTTTTAGAAAATGGCACACTGATGGACACTCTTGAGAAAGTTTGCAACCGATGAAAACTGTTGACAAAGCAACGAACAAAAACTAAAAGTTGGCTTCCATTTTTTTCTATAGCAACTTATTGACATTTTTTATAGTTACTATATTCTGTATATAGTTATTTTTCATATTAGATTTGTATATTGTGTTTTTGCACTGCTTTTTGCACATTTTTCTCTATACATTTGATTTATTGTCTTGGAGTTTATTATCTTGTGCATAATAAAATGCAAGAACTGCTATTTACTCACTCTCATTTTGCTTAGATATATAATACACAACATGGGTCAAGTTAGGTGATAAAGTGTTGGATCGTTCTCTTGTCAAGTGTAACGCATAGTAAAAATAGTGTTTTACAGGTAATAAATTTGTTTATGGATGAAAATGGGAGACTTCAGAAAAGACATTGCCTCCCTTCAGTTAAAGCTCAATTACTGTTGTGAAGAAGGATATAAAAATATAATTCTTTTTTTCTCTATTTACTGGCATATAGAGGATTCAAAAGAATCCCCCTGCAGGGAAATAAACCAAACAGATCCTAAATTACAGACTCTCAAAAAAAAACTTTCTTGAAAAATTAATAAAAATCTGACTTTTTATCTGTATTTATTATAAAATTGTGAATATATACAATAAAATATATGCAATATTCCACCACTGTGCTAAAATTTAGAGGATTTTCTGTAAATTGAGACCATTTTTATCCTTTTACTCCAATGTATAGGGGTAAGGTGAACTTTTAAATTCAGGTATGCCCAATTCTTTCAGAAATCAAAAACGGAGATGGTAAAGGTACACCCGGAGACACCAATACCTCCTTTCAGTAAAATCTAAATATATTTTGTTTAGAAGGAGATATCAATTAGATTATTTTTTCCTCTGTTTACTGCCACCTAGTGGAATCAAAAGAAACTTTCTGCAGGGACAAAGACCAAATAGATCCTAAATGACAGATTTTTAAATATAATAATAATAAAAAAATATATTGAAGAAGGATGGAGGGTTGCGTCCTATTTTAGATCTGTGTCAGTTGAACCGCTCAGTCATGTGACTGAAGTTCAGGATGCTCACACTCAAACAAGTCGTGTCTCAGATCAGGTCCAAGGACTTGTTTGTCACGATCGATCTAAAAGATGCATACTTCCATGTCTCCATCCGTCCTCATCACAGGAAGTTCCTGAGGTCTGCTTTTGGGGCCAAAGCTTACCAATATTGTGTTCTTCCTTTCAGCCTTGCCCTCTCACCCCGCACTTTCACGAAGTGTGTGGATGCTGCTCTGGCTCCATTGCGACTCCAGGGCATCCGCATACTCAACTACATCGACAATTGGTTGATATTAGCTCATTCAGAGCAGGTAGCGGTTCGATAAAAATCCTTTAACGGATTTGAATATTAGAAATGTGTTAGTGTGTTATGTGTAAGCCAGGTTGAAGAGATGGGTCTTTAATCTAGATTTACACTGACAGAGTGTGTCTGCCTCCCGAACAATGTTAGGTAGGTTATTCCAGAGTTTGGGCGCTAAATAGGAAAAGGATCTGCCGCCCGCAGTTGATTTTGATATTCTAGGTATTATAAAATTGGCAGAGTTTTGAGAACGCAGCGGACGTAGAGGACTATAATGCAATAAGAGCTCGTTCAAATACTGAGGTGCTAAACCAATCAGGGCTTTATAAGTAATCAGAACAACCACCCAGTAAAGCATTACAATAATCTAACCTTGAGGTCATAAACACATGGATTAACATTTCTGCATTTGACATTGATAGCATAGGTCGTAATCTAGATATATTTTTGATATGGAAAAATGCAGTTTTACAAATACTAGAAACGTGGCTTTCTAAGGAAAGATTGCTATCAAATAGCACACCTAGGTTCCTAACTGATGACCAAGAATTTACATGAGAGAGTTGGGGTTAAGACTAAACGCCAAGAAGAGTGTGCTTTCTCCATTACAGAGGACCCCCTATCTGGGCGTGGTATGGGATTCGACCACGATGCAGGCATATTTGTCCCCTGCTCAGATCGAGTCGATCCTCACTGCAGTCAAGAGAGT